GCATTATTAGATTCAGGATCCTATAGGTTCTAAAAAATTTTGTTTTGCCCTCCACGTGTCTCATATTTGTAAAATAAGTTGTTTTACTTCACATTTTGAGAATCATGAAGTTAAGTGGGGAGAAGGTGGGTTTGAAAACAACTGCCTTAAACGCTAATAAATAACACATTTATAACACTTGGAAAATAGAGGAATGAAATTTTGAAGAGGAGATTGATTTCAGTTTAATAGTTGTTGTCCGGTTGATGAGGGAAGGCAGGGGCATTGATATTATTTTGGGGAAACATCATATTTCTCACTTTATTATTGCTTCTCAAGGATGAAGGAAGGAAGGAAGGTTGATAATCTTCCTGAAAAGACAGCGTGCTGTTCCTGTTGTAAAAAGTTCCAATGTTCAGTCACAAGACAGTGTCAGAGAAAGGCAGGCTACAGTGCAGCGCACAGGGGAAATAAAAAAAAAGTCAAGATGGTGTTTGTGACTGTTCAAAGCCCACCCTACATGCATTGCATGGTCATGCTTCTCAAGGATGAAGGAAGGAAGGAAGGTTGATAATCTTCCTGAAAAGACAGCGTGCTGTTCCTGTTGTAAAAAGTTCCAATGTTCAGTCACAAGACAGTGTCAGAGAAAGGCAGGCTACAGTGAAGCGCACAGGGGAAATAAAAAAAAGTCAAGATGGTGTTTGTGACTGTTCAAAGCCCACCCTACATGCATTGCATGGTCATGGTCGCCATCTTGACTTTTTTGATCTCCCTGCTGGACACCCCTGAGCAATACCAAGCTGAAGCTTCCATTTTAGGTGCAAGAAGTCCAGGAGCTGGCACAGGATGCCAGGAACCATGCTCAGGACACTTTGGACCATGCTCAAGGAGCTCGGAACCAGGTGGAAAAATCAACAGCCAGGCTGAGGGAATTCATCCAGAGGATAAAAGACTTCCTAGCAGGTACCAGAGTGTTGCTCACACAGAACCTGAAGTAAACATTGCATGTCTAAAAGTGAAAGTATCTCATGCTGCCTTGTAAAATACAAATCCTATATTCGTAGAATCATAGGGTTGGGAGACACCTTGGGGGTCTTCTAATCTAGCCCCCTGCCAAGGGCAGGAATCCTCATACTCACCTAGACACATGGCTGTCCCACCTTTACTTGAAAACCTCCAGTGGTGGAGCTCCCATGACTCCAGGGCAGTTTTTCTCAACCTTGGGAACTTTAAGATGCGTGGACTTCAACTCCCAACATGCTGGCTGGGGAATTCTGGGGGTTGAAGTCCACACAACTTAAAGTTTTCAAGATTGAGAAACACCGCTCCAGGGGCTCTCACTGTCAAGAAATTCCTCCTTATTTTGAGTTTGGATCTCCCTCTGTAAAGCTTCCACCCACTGATTCTTGTCCTATACAGAGAGGAAGATATGGATGCTAATACTGGAAGTATGTTGTGTTCTGACAATGTTAATATTTAAATATTTAATTTGGGCAGAGAGAATGAAGGGCTAGGCTGGGGGATGGGAAGCAGGATGGACGGTTACAGGTACATGGACAGCAAGGGCCTGTGCTTGTCTCCCCAGAGGAAGGTGCCGACCCAGAGAGCATTGAGCTGGTGGCTCAACAGGTCCTGAACATTCCCCAGCCCATCAGCCACAGTCAGGTCGACAGTCTGATTAAGGAGATCTGGGACAGAATTGGCCAGCTTAACAGAGTGGATTTTATCCTGAACTGCACAGTGCAAAACCTAACCCTCGCCAGGGATTTACTGAACAAAGCAGAACAGGCCAGGTAAGTGTCTCCAGCAGGAACAAAAGCAACTCATTTTATTAATTAAGTTTTTCAGTAAACAGATAACAATGTCACACATTTTGCAGGATGAGGTCATTGAAATTCTAGTTGTAATCATCTGGACCCAAGCTTAAGTACCAGTTAGAGCATGTGACCTTGGATAGGATGGGTCTCTGTTATCTTCTATTATCCTCTTCTGAAGTGCAAAGGTTAGCATTGGACCAGGCTGCATACTTTGGGGTTCAGTATGTTGTGGGGATGCAGCCCTTGTCTTAGCATGTTGCGCCAATCAGACTGTCACGTTAAGCCATAACATGGTTTAAATGGATATAAAGTGTTCTGTGAATACAGAACCTGTTAACCAGGTTTAGCATTATGCATATTGTGTAAAACCAGCCAATTACTAAGTTATGGTAATGTGACAATGCTCTCACAGTCCTATATATATGTATGTATGTATGTATGTATGTATGTATATGTATATATATAATTTTTATTAAAAAGTT